AATTATATTAATTTAAAATTTATATAAATAAATATTTTTGAACATCAAAATTATATTTTATAAATATGAAAAATAATTTATATTATCACACAAAAGAGATCTGCAGAAAATAGTAGAGTCTGTGGACTTTTTTCTCTTATTATGATGAAGGAAGAAAGAAACAAACGTTACCCACTTTTTTTTGTCAATGTCAAACTTATTTAAAGATGAGTATCACAATTATTGGAGAGATAATTTTTTTTTTTTTTTACATAGAGAGATAAGGTTTGAGACAATAGTAACGAGAACATGTGATTTTTTTTTTAAATAAGTAAAATAATACATAGAAAATGACAATATATGTGATTCGAGTCTATATGATAGAGACTTATGACTTTTGCTTGAAAAATAAAAAGATGGAAAACCATATTTTACGAATGAGTCTAAAGACTTTCAAGTAATTTAAAATTTTCCAAACCTAACTCATGAAAATGAGATCCAACTAATTATTTGTTTAGTATTAGTAGAGTGTATCTTCTAAGTTCTAACTATTTGTGATCACTATGAAGTATCAGGGAACAACAAATTAACACACACAAAAAAAAAAAAAAAAAAAAAAAAAAGCGAAGCAAAGCAAGCAAACACAGAAAACGAAGATAAAGATGGCGGCGAAGACGAAGAGTCACACACCTCGTAGACGACGGTTTCGAGTGGAGGCTTGGCTAGGTCGGAACGAAGAGCGTCGACGATTTGGTCCCACCGCCTTCAGTAGCGCCTTCACCTGCGTCACTCTCCATTCATAACTCCGCGTCCTTCCAGTACCGAACCTCTCCCTCAACTCCCTCACCAGAAACGACGCCGCTTCTGCGTCAAACACCTTCTTCTCCGATTCACGTGACTCCTCAACCGCCATTATAGTTTTCTTCTCAATCACACAAGAGGAGCCAGATTAATTCAGATTTAATTATATATAGCATATAAATTAGGAGGAGATGATAGGTATATATATACATTATACACACACACAACACACGACACACACAAACAAAAAGCTAGGTACACGAGAGAGACGCGTAATTATGAAAGAAATAGATAAGGATCTTACAACTTGCTTCCAAAATCAACGATCTAATAGTAACCCCATCTTATCAATTATCATTGTTCACACGGGGCTTGGCGGTGCCAAAGTGGCTTCATAATCATATTGTCGTTACCTGTGACGGAGCCAGGATTTCAATACTGGGGGGCCGAGAATAAATAATATATAATTTATAATAAATGAAAATTAAAGTATCAAAAGTATATAAAAAAAAATATAAAAAAAAATTAAAATTGTTGGGGGGGCCGTGGCACCCGTAGGTCCCCCCTTGGCTCCGTCCTTGATCGTTACTCGTCGCGGTGGATATGTACCGTACCAAAGAAGTGACTATACACACGTGATTTTTTTTTTCTTCTATATTTTTCTCTACCATTAATAATCATTAAATAATGTAGTAAAGGTTACCAAAAATAATATTAAAAATAAAAAATACTTCTATTCTTTTTTTGGTATTAAAAAAATAAACTCATATATTGTATTGATTGTTGAAGTATAATTTGTTATTGTACACTTTTTCTCTCCAGAAGCTGGTGTTCCTCGGTGGAGCCACCCGTACAGAACTTGTATTTTGTTTCTAAATTGGGATGTAAAACGTGTCACGACTGTTCCTTTTTCTTAATGTTTTAATAACCGGAAAGAAACAAAGGAGAGAATTAGGGAAAATAGACTTCCAAAAATATATTTTTCATTCTCATGGATATTCCAAAAAGAAAAATCCGTGAAGAATATTGAGTAGGGGTGAGCAACGGGTGGGTTTGGTCGGGTTCGGGTGAAAAATGTCCAACCCGTTGTAAACCGACTTTGAAAAAATGTGACTCATATCCGACCGACTGAGCTTTCGATTTGAGGCGGTTCGGGTTGAAACGGATTCGGATTTAAGCGGGTGGATATAATCGGGTTTGAATTTTTTTGTAGACCAATTTATCTTAACGAAGGTGAAACTTAAAACGATAAAAAAATATTTTTAAAATAGTGTATAAAAATAGAATGAAGGTGAAAATAGATGGTGTAAATAGATTCGTAGTTGAAACATTTACAAACTAAAGAAGCAAAAATAAAAGATAACAAAATTCATAGTTGTTACATGGAAAAGAAATATAAAGTTAGATTACAAAACCATAAGAAATCACAGTCACACAAAATGTACTCAAAATGGAGATAAGAAGATGGAAAAGAAAGACAAAGAAAGAAGCAAAAAGATAACTCTAAAAATGGACTAGTGTGTTGAGAAGTTGAATGAGGAAGGAGAAGACAAAATAAATATCTAAGTTATGAGAAAAAGGAAAAAAATAAGTTACAAATTGATGGCTATATTATACTTGAAATAAAGACTTTTAAATTTGGACCATTGTTGTTTAGTTATACAAAAGTAATAAAAATTTAAACTTATCTCATTTTCGGTTGGGTTCGGTTTTTAGCGGGTTTAAAAATTCAAAACCGAACCCGCCCAATATAACCCGTATAAAATCAAAATTTTAACCCGATTTACCCATAAAACCCGCCCGAACCCATCCAAAAACAATATTTTTCTTCGGGTTTTTCGGGTTCGGTTCGGGTGTCGGTTTAATGCTCACCCCTAATATTGAGATAGTAGACTTCCAAAGAAAAGTTGACCATACCATACCATGTTCAATTTATTAATTTACTTTTCTTTTTTTTAAAAAAAGTTAATAAGAATATTGTTGACTTATTTTATTTTTAAATTAAAAATATAAAATAGAAGTATACAATGAAAAATTTTACTTACGTTTAGTTTACTTATTCTTAAGAAAAGTATATTTAGATTTATACCATACTTAATTTTACAAAATTAATTTATAAAGGAAAAGTTATTTCGTATTTATATTTATCATTTTTTTTAATCAACGTGAGATCTCTTATACTGATTTACACTGGGGAAAAAGTGACTGATTAGTGAAAAACGTTGATTAGCTTTAGCTGTATTTTAAAACAAAAATCAAATATTGAGTATACCATGACTACCATCATCGCTTTACTTATAATTAATATCATTGGAATCGTGACGAAACAATATAAACTATGAAACTTTTATAGACGAAAAGTATAGTTCTTACTAAGGTTTACTTTGAAAAAACATTAAAAAAAAATCCTTTAAAAGAAAATGATATTCAAAATCAAATTTTGGTATGGGAGCGAATTGACATGCGACTATAGATTAACTCTTAAAAATATTTATTGTATCCCTCAAAGGAAATATTTTGAAATATTTTATTTATATATTCATGTTATTAATGAGAATGTTTATTATTTATAAATGTCATTTTGAAAATAGAGAAATATATTTTACCTCAACATTGTGCCTATTATTCTTGGTGCAATGGAAAACTCAAGGTTACATAGTTATTTTAGTAGAAAATGTTTGTAGATTAATATATAAGTTTTGATTAATTTTTGTGAAAAATGTGGAAAAGAGAGCCACTGACTTTTAATTTTGAAAAATGAGGTTTCTTAAGTCATCATGATTCAACTGTTTTCCTAAAAATGTCTTTGCAATAAATAATAACATAAAAATATCATAATTATATTATATTACAATAAATATTTAAGATGTCAAAAATATAATAAAATAGTACACACTAATATATATATAATACTATTATAATATTTAAAATGTTATATATAATTATTTCTTAAAAGATATTTCAAATGATAATAAAATATTTAAGATATGCACAATTAATATTGTCATGATAATACTATTATAACAATTTAAAAATATTATATATATATATATGTGTGTACGCTCTATTATTATAATTTTCAAACAAATAAAGTAGATAAAAAATAATATTAATGATGAAAATACACAATACTAATAAAATATAAACCAGTAATGTAATACTATAATTTTATAAAAATTAAAAATACTAAAATAATAATTTAATAATAGTCTAAAATCTAGAATAATAAAAAGTAACATTATAAAAAATAAACATAGTAAATACCAAACATAAAAATAAATTATTTCTCTTCAAAAAAAATTTCCATTTCTCTTGAATCAAATTCTTAATTCTGTTTTATTTTATTTTATTATCTATTTTTATTCGGTTTTCTTTTTTTTGTTTTCATTCACTTATTTATTTTTCTTTCTTATCAAACAAATGGAGTGTAAAAGTTATGTACTTTAATTTATTTTAGCCGATATAGGATTGAGACATGTTTTATCCTTTCGTGTAGGCATGTTACGTGTCCTACTACTACATATAATTATATATAAACACAGTATCACAACTTGCGTAGCCTCTCAAAGGACACATTAGCCACATTACGACCACATGAATCTTAACATAGTCACAAAGAAAAGTAGCAACAATTAATTTTCTATTTCAGTCACAACTCACAATTCTTTCTTATTGGTATTTCCTTTAAAAACAATAATAATAAATAAATAAGCATGCTAAATACAAAATAACCAGAACGAAAGATAAATTATTACATTAACAACAGCCAGATTCCAAAACGAATTAAAGTTAGGACCATCCGAAAAGAGCACGAATTATGCCAATGATACTCCCACCAATGAGAGCCTTCATCAATCTCAGCTTTGTATCCGTGTATGGTGGATACCTTAATGAAGCATCACCAGCAAAACTGCGATAAAGAACAGCCTTTTTGTGTGTAAAAGCATCAAAGGAGAACTTCCCGTGGTATGCACCCATTCCACTCTCCCCAACTCCCCCAAATGGCAATGTATGAACCACAAGCTGCACCAGGAAAACCAAAACACACATGAAAAATGTTCAAATTTTTAATTGATTCTTAACACAAACTAATGCATTCATGGAAAAAATTTAAAAGAAAAAATATTACATGTAAGACAGTGTCATTGACGAGCAAACCCCCGGCAGAAACATTCTTTACGAACTGCTCCTTGAACTTTTTGTTGTTTGTAAATATATATGCAGCGAGGGGCTTTGATCCTGAGTTGATCACATCTATACTTTCTTCCACTTTATTGACCTACTCCAAGCAAGAAAGTATATATTATAGTTGATCTTCCATCGCTTTAAAATTAAAAGAATCAAATAAAGTTTATTGCTGAGAACTTTTTAAATTGCAAAAATACACGCTAGTTTAATATTTAACTTAAAACCTTTGTAAATATTTAAGTTTTCCCAAGATATCTAATTGCAGCTTAAAAACATGTTTAAAATCTATGGATACACAAATAATGGAAAAGTAATGAAAGAACACAAATAAAATTCGAAGAAGAAAATATCATATAAAAAGTTCCTTATGTGACTATATTTATACCGTGATGATGGGAAGTAATGGACCAAATATCTCTTCACCCATTATTAGAGAATCTTGAGGAACATCCAATAAAACAGTGGGAGCGATCCTTCTGCAAATTTGGGACAATAAGAAAGCCAAAGTCATGATCTATTGCATGTCTTTAAATACAAAATTTCTCTATCTATGAGGTTAATTTTAATTAAAAATAGATCAAGTGAGCTTACAATTTTTTTTCATCCTTTTCACCTCCATAAGCAATCTTGCCAGAAACCTTGTCATCATTCAATAGCTTTGACAACCGAGCAAAGTGGTTGGAACTAACAATTCGAGACAAATCTTCTGATTCTAACGGGTTTTTTCCATAACAATTTTCCAATTCAGTCTTTAGGACATCCACCTAGAAATAGGAGACATCACACATTAAATAAACAAAGACATGGATTCAAAATCTCTAATTACACAGCGAAAATTTCATACCAACTTGGGAGCACAATCTTTTGTTGTTATAATATAATCTGGAGAAATGCATGCTTGTCCATTGTTCAGTCCCCACTTTCCAGAAATTATTCGCCTAGCTGCGACCTGTGAATACAAATTAATTTAAGTCAATTAATGATGAGTTTGAAAGAGGTTAGTTCAGGTAATAGCAAGTAATTTGTAAAAGTAAAGGCTTGAGCAACACCTTCAAATTGATATTTGAATCAACAACAACCGGAGATTTTCCTCCAAGCTCTAGCACAACTGGTGTAAGGTGTTTTGCAGCAGCAGTCATCACTATTCTTCCCACTTTTCCATTACCTAAAACAGTTGTATATAACTTGAATAAGATAATTCATCTTATATATTCTCATGTTATTTTATATTCAAATTATATATCCATTTATAAAAGCAGATGAATTGTAAAGAAAATTAGAATAATGACAAAGAAGAAAAACCTGTGTAGAAAATCTTGTCCCATTTTTGCTGCAATAATGCAGTTGTTTCATCAACTGCCCCCTCGACAACTCTTATAAATGAGTTATCCATATACTTCTCAATCAATTTCGCTAGTAGGGATGATGAGGCCGGAGCAATTTCTGATGGTTTTAAAACCACAGCATTACCAGCTGCTATAGCTCCAACAACTGGATCGAGGGACAACACTGGAAACACAGGTAGGTATTAATTTATTATAGATTTTAAAAGAAGACGAAAGAAATCACTAGAAAAGTCTTTAAAACTCATAGTCAAGTAAATGTTAACATACAAATTGGATAGTTCCATGCAGAGATGACCAACACAACACCCAGCGGTTCAGGCACTATTTCAGCTGAAGATGGAAAAGTTGAGATTGAAGTTTTGACCTGAAATAATAAATAAATAAATAAGGTGACGAATTATATAAACTTTATTATTTCTTTCTCAGCGGATGAAATATTGAAATTTACCTTTTCTGGCACCATCCAATGCTTCAATTCCTTCAGTATGACTTCACATGAGTTTTTAAACATACCAACCTGCAAGATAAATTACAGTTAAGAGTAGAGGGAAAATACGATATTAATTCAACGCAGTTGTATTGATTACACAAAGAAAACTAGATACTTTAATTTGTTCCACATATTATATATGTTTAGCTGCAAATATTAATTACAAGTCTGAAGTGTTTCAAATTATTAAGAGAAGAGCGTAGCCCCACACACACACATATATATATATATATACCTCGTAGACGACAGTTTCGAGTGGAGGCTTGGCTAGGTCGGAACGAAGAGCATCGACGATTTGGTCCTCGTTTTCAACAACCGCCTTCAATAGTGCCTTCACCTGCGACACTCTCCACTCATAACTTCGCGTCCTTCCAGACCCGAAGCTCTCTCTCAGCTCCTTCACCAGAAACGACGCCGCTTCTGCGTCGAACACCTTCTTCTGTGACCCTGACTCTGCACCCGCCATTGTAATTGTTCCTGAAGGATCGTGAATCGGGATTCAAAATTATAGGATAGTTGAAATGAAATTATAGAGCACAGTACCGTTAATTACCATATACCAGCATGTATATAAATATATATATATATATATACACACGATTACAATTAGGATAGATACGCGATTAATGACGTAAGGATTGCGTGAAGGGGATTACAGCTATATAATCAACTATGTAAGAGAATATGCAATAGAATTGCTTATAAGCAATCACCCTAAAATTAGTTCTGATTCACTTTATGGATTATTTAAATTTTAGCAGAATTATTTTTACAAATAATTCTATTAAAATTTAAACAACTAAAAAGTGGGCCAAAACTGATTTAATAGTCACAAAAATTACTTATAATCAACCTCTATTAGATGTTCTAAGGAACACAACTCATGGCGGCTTCAGCTTCGTGGCATGCGTGGGAATGGATATTTGAACTTTTTGCAAAAGTTGGTGCTCTTGTGTTCACATTGGATGTACAAATGAAAGTTTTTATTTGTTTCCAATTTTTTGACGTTAAGAAATCCGATTAGGACAACTGTACCTAATAAAGTACAATACAAACACGTTAGAGTCTTTTTCGCCCAAATAAATAAAATTAAATTAAAAATACACGAAATAAATTAAAAAAAAATTATTAAAGCAGGTGATTTTTGACGTATAAGAACACACGTGACATAGAAAGCGCAGGGAAGGCCCTTCCCCAAACGCATTCAATGGATGACGTGGCGTTGAAACAAAGAGCGCAGGGGGTGATGCGTTTTGAAAATTGGAATCAAGTGATCTCACAGTCTTGGATTACTTTTGTTTTTTTCTTCACTTTCTTTCATTCTCTATTGCTCGCTGATGAAGCAGTGCTGCGGTGAATAACTAAGCGTGCTCTGCCTAGTTTTCAAAGTTTGTGTCCTTTCAAATTATCAAAAGGATGAAAAGAAAAATCCATTTTTAATTAGATTATTGTTTCCACATCATATTAATAAGTCAATAAATAATTACTTCCCTTTAAGTGAATTTTTTACTGGAATAATATTTTTTTTTTTTAAATTACAAGAATGATCACTGTGCAGGATTATTTACCAAGATAGAACCATTTACTGTTCAAGCTCAGAATTTGATTCCTCGGGAACCGAATTCTGAGCCATCAAAATGTAATTTTTTTTGTTTTTTCAACTCGGAATTCGGTTCCCGGGGAACCGAATTCTAAGTTGGTTTTAATTTTTATTTTTTTTTCGTGTCTGGGGCAAATGTGGGCTGATGTGGGAAGCGGAACAGCCCAGACACGAAAAAAAAAAATTAAAACCAACTCAGAATTCGGTTCCCGGGGAACCGAATTCTGAGTTGAAAAAGCAAAAAAAATTACATTTTGATGCTCAGAATTCGGTTCCCGGGGAACCGAATTCTGAGCTTGAACAGTAAATGGTTCTATCTTGGTAAATAATCCTGCACAGTGATCATTCTTGTAATTTTTTTTTAAAAAAATATTATTCCAGTAAAAAATTCCCTTTAAGTCTTTGTTAACTTTTTTTTTCCCTCTAAAATTTGCCGTCCTTTTGTCTCTCTTTTATTTGTAAAATTAATTTTAAAACCCTCAAATCTTCTTCTACTACTACATATTGGCATTTATATCATTCTATCTATTTTATTTATTTAAATAAATATTTAAAATTTGAACTGTTACACAATAAGGTGCTCCCCAATTTTTATAACAATTAATATTTTAATATGTGCATCATATGCCAAATAGTTATTGTATTTAATTAAAATTTATAATAAATTATATATAAATATATTGTACATCTAATTATATAATTATATTTAAAATTATATTTTAGATTTAAGATAAATAAATTTATTTTCTTTAATAATATTTTCTATATTTATCAGAATAAATATTATTTTTAATTATTGATAATTTATTTTAAATACATTAGAATTTAATTTATAAATAAATATAGTAAATAAGAATAAATTAGATAAGATGTTTAATTTTTTAACACTTTTATTAAAAAAATAACACTTAAAAATATTCTCATACTTAAAAATATCTTTATCTTTAATTCATAGGAGTCGATTAATATAAAAAGCGCTTTTAACATGAAGCAGTTCAACCAATTCCTCACCCCATAAAGTAATAATCTGCAAAATAAATTTTTTTTTCTTCTGTTATAAATAATAAATATAAACCGTTAATTATTATAATATTAAATCTAATAGTTAAGAATAATGTTTCATCTATGTACCACATTCTTTATACTTCATGTTAGGATTTTCGTTAAAGAATCTAATAATTATTTCATCTATTACTATTTTTCCTTTTTCAGAAAAAACAACTTTCGATATTGCAAGGCCACCGTTCATTTGCCATGTTTGATATGCCTGGAAGTTTAAACATTATCTACCTAGAAGTTTCTCCGACATGTAAGGTCTACTTCTTCCACGTGTTAAATGCATGAAAACTTCTTCGTACGTGCCTACACACTTACTCAAGAAAATGTAAATTAGATGATAATGATTGGTCATTGGTGCATTGGATACACTCTACCAGCAAAAATTAAGGGAGTGTATTGAATTAAGATTTTAAAGAATTTTTTTAGTTAAAAAAAATCTTGTAGATTTTAAAAGATTTTGCAAGATTTTCATGACTTTTAAGATTTTGCAGGATTCTACAAGACTTAAAATCAGGATTTTAAATGGATTCTGCAAGACTTTTAAATTAGGATTTTAATGGATTCTGTGGGATTTTGTGGAGTTTTGACATTTGATAAGATTTAAAAAGAATTTCATACATTCAAATTTAAAAAGAGTCAAGGACAAAAATAATAAAAAAATAATAATGTCTAGATAAATAATAATAATAATTCTCCATAATATCCTATCCTTTTTTTATAGCATCCACTATCAATTGTAAAAATTCATCGGAATCCTCCTTGGTCCAAGCTTCATAGTTTTCTTTCTCTTTTCCTTTTTATTTATTATTTCCTTGTGAATCTCCCATTTGAATTACTAAAACAATATATGTTGAAAACTAGTTATATAAATAATTATGGATAAGAGACAAAATCAATAAAATTATATTATTATTTTTAGAAACACATCGATCATACAAGATCGAATATATCTTAGCTATCCAAATGGATCAAATACCTCAGTCATTATAAAAAAATGTAAAAACGGAAATATAGAAACATAAGATAATTTTTTATATAAAAAAAATCAGTATATTCGATACTGAAAAAATATTTAGATATATAATTTTTTTTATATAAATGGAAGTATTTAGATATAGAGAATATATATATATATATATATATATATAT